GAGAAGAAGTCCTAAAATTCTATACGAATACTCACACATAGGGAGACTAATACCAATAGAAATGCCAGTACCAGCACCAAAACCACTCATTAGTAATGATAAGAACAAGACTAGCAGTATTCTTAAGTAAATCAGACACGGAGATACTAAGCATAAGAGTACGAGTAAGAGCACATTTCGAGGTTGTCGAGGAATCATATGCTGCGTTCTCGCGGAACCTCTTTCAAATCGTTAAACTTGGTCTCAGCAGCTCATTCGCGAAGATACTTCTCGAAGTCGGTTTCTGTATCTACACTGCATGCAACCCTCAACAGAAGGATCCCCTGTCAAGCGGCCACAGATATGGCAGGGGTTCGTACTTGAAGTAATTGAGGCCCATTGAGGTTGTTTCTCAAGCTCCGTACAAGAAGTTTCGGGGGTTAGTTTCCTTTGTAAAGTAAGCTCTTTATGGCTTCATGGCTAAAGGCTCGCAGTGGCCCAAATCCCACAGAACCAAGGCTTGCCAGAGCCACCTCAACCCCTTGATGAACCTATCCCTACCATTTTTGGACGAATCATATGTCGTAACTAAAGAGTTTTGGAGTCCTTGGGGCGACCCTTCAACCCGAAGCTTCTCAACCCTAGAAATGTGCATGTTGCCTTGCGAGACACAAATAGCGGATTCCCTCCTAATCAAGGGCTCCGGTCCCGGACGGCCTTCTGTTGGATTCTGTCGCCTTTGATAATGGCTTTGAGTGCAGACCTTAAGGGGGCATGTGGATCCTTGTTTTCGTACCCTTGTTTCCGGCATCCAACGTCACAAGTCGCAAATTCCGCCCCTCAAAGCACCCCTAAACCCCTAAACCCTAAACCCTAAGCCCCAAACCCTAAACCGTAAACCCGTGCAAGCAACTTGGGCCTCTAAGTGGAGATCGCGGCGGCGGGTCACAAGCACGCTGCCCGCGTCAGCAGAGGATCCGGGGTCTCTGGGGTTTGGGCTTGGGTTTAAGGGCTTGGGGCTTTCGGGTCCTAGGCTTTCGGGCTTATGTACTTCTTGACTTTGTGGTAACGGCGCAGGGCATGGGTGTGACAGCCTACGAAAAAATCCTACCACTGCCGTGCTGTCATAGAATCATTCCTGACCAGGAATCACTGAGATCTACGGATTCAAAGGTACAGAAAAGCCAGAGCGGCGGCACAGCAACGATCTCTGCATGAGGCTCGGGTATCGTTGAGGCCGAACCTTTTTTGAGTTTTGCCGGGGCAGCGGCAGTGGGTTTCGGCGGGGCCAACTGCGCCCCACAAAAATGCATAAGCCCCCAAGCTCGACGACCCCGCTCCCCAAAAACCGCAAACCCCAACCCTAGGAGAAAAAAACCAGCTCTGTGCCTGCTGGAAAGTAAATGCTTGAAACTGCGGAGCCCTGCATTTCTGGTGGCCTTACCAACACCAACCTTCGAGCGGGTTTAGGGGGACCTTAGGGTTTAAGGTTTAGGGTTTAGGGTGCTCTAAAAACCTTTAGGGCGGTATCGGGGCAATCCCCCGCCCCAGCCCAGTCCCCAGTCCCAAACCTGCAAAACGTCGTAGGCAACCCTAAACTCCCCCTCTCCGAAACCGTAAAGCCTTCGAAGCCAAAAAGCTCCCTAAATCCCAACATCACCATCCCTAGGCGGGTCCGCAGACACGAAAACCCCTGAACCCTTGTGACGTACCTTACCTGTCCAATATCCTAAGGGAAGTAACGGTTGGCCTTTGGGGTCATATAGGGATTACCGACAAGGCTTACAAGGTTACCGACCCTACTACGAGGCCCCCGGCGCGGCGAGCAGAAAACGCCAGATGCTAAAGGCCAGGGGATTCGAAGCGCGAAGCCTCAGGATTTAGGCTCTTTTCATTGGAAAGATCATGGTCCTCATGTCACTCTACGGAAAACGATTACGAAGTGTTCAAGTTCATACCTCCACACCAGGGTCCGGGTCTGGAGGGTGTGTGGGGGCGAGGTGCTTTAGTCGCTGAGTGGGGATGGAGACGTTCCATTTTCATGTCTCTCGGAACTGAACGTCTGAAGAAATGGCTTACCCCTCACAATATCCCTCACAAGAGCGGCGGTGTCCCGGCCTCCTCGTCAGGCTTTCCAGTCACTACGAGGACACGCGAACAGCAGACGTCTCACATCTCACACGGATTCAGGACGAAAGCCTTTGCAAGGGCGCACGTAAACGACCAAGAGTTAGAAGGCTTGGCACACTGGCCACGTGGCCGCCCATGGCCATGAATGTCGTAACAGTGCCACCACCCTTCTCGAATATCCCCCTGACACTTGGTGTTGGATCGCACAACCTCATCCCAGCACAAAAAGCGCATGCTCTTCACTGAGCCCGAGCCCGAAAACTACAATTTCAGTGACTCTGACCTCCAAACCGTAGAAATCGTGCATGCCAACATCATACAACCCAAACCCACCACCCTTTCTCCGCGAAAGATTGCGAAGGGGGTCTGTTGGCAGCCGTGCTAGCTCAGATCCGGCATCGCCCCGCTTTGCCTCGAGCTCTCTTAAAGGAGATGCAGAGCACCCCTTTTGGGGGGTCCAGGGTGGTGGAGTATTTACGTGTTTTCTTTGCACCGGGAGGCGGGGTTTCGGGCTGAGAGTGGAGCAGCGGAGCAGTGTCCTAGTCTTTCTACTTGGTTCCCAATGTAAGAGTTGGGGTGCAAGCTACGGTCCGGACTAATTAAGTTCCACCGCCACTTGCAAGGATATGTTCTGCAACGAAGTAAGTGGCCCTTGTGGAGAAACCCGTTGCTTTGGATGCACTCGCGTTCTCTACTGTTTGTTCTGTACTCATGGGTAACTCTGCAAGACGGCTCTTGGTTATCATCTTGAAGCCGTCGGCTGCTTTCGGCACCTCCCGAATCTCTTTGTTGGGTTTGGTAGGAGAGGTAAGGCCATGGTGATGGTGATGTTACAACCTATAAGGAATGAGATTATGATGCTGGTGGCGGTCGCCATGCTGAAGAAAGCCTAAAGCCCGAAACTTGCAAGTCTGGTCCCGAACCGCCGGGTGCAAGAGAACAAGAACCCTTTCGACGCTTAACTGGTTGAACCGCGCAACATAACATGACCAGGACTGGAAAATCATAATGTGGGTTCAGAACCCCAAAACCCCAAACCCTAAACCCCCAAACCCTAAAGCCTAAACCCTTCAAAGCACAGCTTCGGCCAAGCAGCCCCTTCCCCAGGCTCTGCCCAAGTTCACTCAGCTCCTCGGCGAACTGCGCTGGTGGGACCAAGTCGGTGGCCCCGTAGAGGACCTCCGGAGGGATCGGGTTTCTTCAGGGTTTAGGGCTTTGGGCTAAGGGTTTAGGGGTTTAGGGTTTAGGGCGTAGGGTTTAGGGGTTTAGGGGTTTGGGGCTTAGGGCTGGGCTTAGGGGTTTAGTTTAGGGTTCAGGGTTTTCATAAAGGGTGTAGGGTCCAGCAAGAAGCCCTGTACCCCGGCAGGCTGAGGCTCTGTGCTAGCTGGCGACATGGTTTCTTTACAGCTTTGAATGCGGGTGTACAAAGGGGCTTGAGGAGCTGGGAATCGAACAGACTGGAATTTCGCGGCTTTTATACTTCAGGTCCGATGCTGCTTCTGCCACAACCGTCACTTTGTGAGCAGCCATGAACTCCCCGTCTATCTGTACACAGACCTGCGCTTTCGAAAAGCAAGCTTTGCAGACAGCCCAATATCCATTAACTTAGCGGCACTCCTCGCATTATGTGCAAGGGCTCTTACAATGATTCAGGCGACATTCGGGTATCGGGCTCTCCGGCTTCGTGGTGGGAACCGCCTGAGGCCACTCTGGCCGGAAACTCTGCCCGAGCCATGGCCTTCTCCAATGGAACTCTGCAGGAGAGCCATGAAACCGACAACCGCTTCAGCAATCGTCATAAAGATACTGAGAATGACCAGACGAAACACGGTCAGGGTCCAGCTTGGTTTACGCTTGACGACGCAAACTAGTCTTTCAGAAGCATGGCGCAAGCGCAGCTCAACTGACAATGCTGCTGGACGATCCTGGGTCGTTGTCAGGACGAAAAAAAGGTTCCTCTTGTAGAGGCCTTGCTTGCCATGTTATGAAACCCAATCCACAGTAAGCTCATCAAGGAGTCACTAAACCCTAAACTCTAAGACCAAGCATCGGCTGTGTCCCGCAGAGGTTCTTGCTGGCAGCCGCCCGGCAGGAAGTTACCTCCCCGAAAACAGGGTCTCCATCCTCGCTCAGCGGGTTTAAAAGTCTAGGAATGACGATTCGGGGTGTAGGGCTTACGAGGATATGAACGGTTAGCTGCCCGTTGCAAGACTTTCACCAGGAAATACATGTTCGGTATTGAAGACTAAAAAAGATATAATGTAATATAATATAACATAACATAATACAACATAACAGAATTTCAGTGTAATATCAGATAACAAGAGCTGAGCATCGTCGATGCTGCCCATCAGGCCTTGATCGTTATCTGTGCCTGATGCTTCACAGGCACAGATTCTGGGACAGAAGTCACCAGCCTTTCCTTGGGAGCGGATGTAAATGTTCCTGTAAGGGTTTAAGGTTTAAGGTTTAAGTTAACCATACTGGAGATGTATAGCAAATATTTAATATGGGGTTTCCTTATCCTGTTAGCTTAAATCAAGTTCCTCAACAGCAACCCGGTTTCCTTGGCAGCAAGTGCCGGGGCAAAGGATGCTCAAAGGCGCCCAAAGCTGCGAATGCCCTGAGCAGAAGTCCCTCTGCGTCAGCTCTTCAATTTCATAGCTCGTGTTGCTCAGTGCTGAGCAACCGTGGGTCAGCATGTGGTCTCTCACCTCTTCCAGTTGGCCAATCTTCGATTGATTCCGCTCCCCCATGAAACTCGAGACGATGTAAGGGTACTCTTCCCAGAAGGCCTTCCAAGCTGTGGAGCCTGTTGCAACATCGGTGCAGCTCCGATCGTCGATTGCGTGCCTCATTTCCCCAAGACAATTGCTGGAACATCCCCTTTCCTACACGCGGAACCAGGGGTTCGTAACTGGTTCGGCGCACCCACATGTGACGCCGCAGCTCAAGCGCAACAGCTCTCCATTCTCATCGTCGCAGTGCTCTTTCATGTCCTCACAGGTACTGTTCTGTGGGAAGCCGAGCCCAGGCGCTGTGTTCCACCAGTAAGGTTCGTAGTTACCCGCATTTGGCTGTCCGTGAATATAGTATTGGTCAAAGTCAGTACAGTGCATGATGCGAGCCGCGGCTGCAGACATGAGCTCAGTTCGCTTGATCTCAAAATCCCTTGCAACCTGCGATATCAGGACGTAGTTGGAAGACAAGGAGTCGTCCCCTCGAAAGGCCAGGTCCCTGACTGCAATCTCGATTAAACTGACATTCCGGTCCGCGCCAAAGTTCGTGGTCTCTCGACCAATGGTAATGCCTTGATTAGAGTTGATTCCGACAACGAAATCCTGGTTCCCACCACATAGGGTGGCATTCACCTCCAACATGTGGTTGGCAAGCGGCTCTACCAAGTAGAACCAAGGCCACAACATCAGTCCGCACATGATGAGAAGCAGCAACACTGCCTCGATTTGGCTCCTCCTGCGGGTGTAATTGATCTTGATGGCCTCCAGGTCTTGAATTTTTATCTGAATCTTCTTCGGCATCAGTGCCGCGAAAAACATCTCATCGACATCCAGAACAGCCCCCAAGGCCACTGCGTTCAGCATCAGATCGGTGATCGACGTGGTATTTGCAAGCCAAAGAATCCCAGCATAAAGCAGGAGGCCAGCGATCACTCCCCGCGTAATCCGGGCCAGGCAGTAGAGCGCGAAGCGAAGGTACGAAATTGTGGCAAAGCGTCCGTGATCAAAGGTCGTGTATGCACGCCGTGGAATCTGTAATACTGCCTCGAGAGACAAGCCGATGGCTCGAAACTCATTGCACAGGTAGAGGCACCACATGAGAATGCAGAGCATGCAGAGAAGGATTCCAAGACTCACATTGAACCTCTGGTTTTTGAACGGTCAGGCCCAAAAGAAGTCCAGCTTCGTCACGAGAACACATGAGTCACAACAACACGAAACCCTTTCAAAAAAATCCATGTAGAACCCTCATAGGGGGTCCCAAAGAATCTCCCCATTGGCTCAACAAGGCGCGGCTTCAGCAGGCCGAGGAAAGTATCGATCTCGTCAAGGAGGGTCGCTTGACTTGTCGACACGATGAGGGAGACGTCCTTGATTCGTTTTAAGGAAGGGTTCCTTTCAGGTTCTCTAACAATGACTCCTCTACGGTACCATGGGCCTTTTTAGAAGGCTTGCGGCCTGGGGTTCGGACAAGGCTAAACCTGTCCAGGGAGGGAAAATGTTACTACAACTCTACTGGGGTTCCCAAAGAACAGCTACTTAGGCCCCTTGGTCGGAAACCTGAAAGAGGCCTGTGACCCTGTTGTTAGTAGTCCTTGTTGCAGACGCGCGATACCAAGCTGGTCTGCGCCAAGTCCATGTGCCTGTAATCGTGGGCAACACCAACCCTCCACCTGGGCTCTTGTTACGAGTGGTTTAAGCTACGTGCAGAGGCACTGTGGACATAAACTCAATTCCTCAAGCAGGGCCCAGCCACTTCTCCACATTCTGGATGTGGCTTTCAAACGGCTCTCCAAGGAAGTCGGGCGACAGCAGAATTATGCTGAACGCAATTTGCAAGCCCCCGCTGACAATCAACAGCAGGCAAGCAATGATGATGTCCAGCCAGCCAGCATCCGTGAAGCCCATGACCAATACAAGGTTCCATGTTGACTCCAAGAAAGCCACAGGTTCCAACGGGACCCAGGCCACACACTCATCTTCCGGATCCTCTCCCTGGTTCTTAGTAGGGAATGGGGGAATGGATCCCTATGATAGTCCCTTAAGGTCCCTTATAGTAGTCCCAATAACCCATTCCCCCATTCCTTACTAAGAACCAGTCAGTCCTGGGGACTTTCCCATTTCGGCGAAAACTCAGACCAGGCCGATCCGCTGGGACGGCCAACGGGCACGACGTCTGCCACGGGCTTTTCGACGATGCCTCCCGGCAGCTCCGCATCTCCGACATCCACAGAAACCTGAGTGGTCGGTGGTAGCTTAGGGTCCGACGAACAAGTCAGTCAGGAGCCGGAAACCCATTTAGAACCCCGAAAGCCAAAAGCCTTACGCCCCAGATGCAGTCGTATGGAGCCTGTTTCAACCTGAACAGAACCCTGATAAAACACCCCTTCTAGAAACCCCCCAAAGGCTGCCTCGACACCTGCTCTTGCGCGCTTGGCCCGCCTGGGATCCTCACGGGCTTCTCTCCTCGGAGTAGCAGCACCTCCGTCTCGAGGTGTTGCACTCTCCTGGGTAGCTTAGGGGTCTTCTTGAAGCCCTCCTATTCAGAGTTCCTTCCCGGTGGGTGCTGCGCCTGGGTCGGCGCGGGACTTGTAATTTTCATGGGTTTTGGGTCCGGGTTGAAGGTTCAGGGGACATTCGCCCAAGGCGCCGGTCGGCCAGAGATTCCCACGGAGGCCCCCTGTTTGCCCCGAACAACGCCCCCTTTCCCGTAGCCCTGGCCTGTGCACTAGTTTGAGAGTTTGAGTAGGCAACTAGTTTGACAAAAGGTTCTCTCGGAAATTGTCGTTTGCTACCAGTCTCGAGAGCAAACCATACCAAAACTTGAAACCTCGCTTCAAGAACTGCATCTCCGCTTCTTCTTAAAATGAAATAGTCTAGCCACTGTCTAGTCTGCTAAGGGCGAACAACTCTTCTGAATCCGCCGGCCTAGCTTCGCGAGGCACTGCCCTAGCGCCCTCTGCAGTTCCACACGGAACTCCTCACGGAGCCTCTGCTCCAAGGTCCAGATCTTCTTCTCAAGCTTGGCCGCAGACATGGCTAGGAGCGAAGAAAAGGGAGCTCAAACCCCCTAGTTTCACGATGAAAAACCGTTCTATCAGAAAGTCGGTGTAAGTTGAAGAAAGTCTTGCTTAGCTAGAAGGGCGCTGGGCCCTCTCGGTGCAAGGGTATCATGATGAAGAGGAAGGCCCTGAGTGGCGGGTGTGCCGCTGGCGCTCGAGTTCGGCATCAATTGATCACAGCAAAACACGAAAGAGAAGCACGGAACTACCTGCGACAGCAGAAATAGGAGAGAAAGAAGTGGTCGAATCACGATGACAGCCAAGCGAACCCAAACTCATATAAGATGCAATGCTAGAGACAGGTTACAGTTGGAATGGCAATAATCCAAACCACCGTTGGGGTTTAAACCGGCAAGACACGTCCCAGGAACAAACCACGATAAGTAGCAAGACCAAAACCTACAGTATGAAACAAATGACAGCAAGTCCAGCAGCCACAGTAGCAAAAACAAATGTTCAACGTCAGGAACTCCAGTCAAACACAACACTCTCCTTCTTCCACCCACACCTTGAATTCCTGAAGCCCCGGCCTCACGAATTTCTCGTGATCTACAAAGCAAAGGAAAGTCTTAGAAGACAGTGAGGGACCCTTAGCTGAGTAGCATTTAGATTCTCCCCGAACCACTTCTTGCATCCAGTGTGTGTATCGACTCCAGAGTAGAAGCACTTATAGCTCATAATTGGTTTAGGGCTTAGGTTAAGGGTTTAGGGTTTGGGGTTTACGGTTTAGGGTTTAGGGTTTTGGATGTACGGTTTAGGGTTAGGACTTAAGGTTTAGGGTTTATAGCTCAAAATAATCCGTTTTCGTCGCTACATACGGAAACTAGGTCCATGATCATATGCACCCCATCAGCATCTCCCAAAACCCGAGACCCGAATTCCTCAACCTTCCCGAACCCAACGAGGGATATTTACAGAAACCGTCCAGTAGCCCCGAATGATCCTAACTCTTGAAGCATCTATTGGAAAGCCCGAAACATAAACTGCTTGAAGTACGTCCCGGCCAAAGCTTGCTGCTGGGTTGCCTGCATGCACGCAGTCTTTCGGAGGCGTGTGTAAACAAACCCTTAAGCCTCTAAACCCTCTGCCCTGAGCCCCAAATGAAAAACCGGAACCCCAAACCCTAGCCCAAAAGCCTAAGCTGCACTGGCCTGCCGACCCGTTGTTGTAGCCCAGTCCTCCCCGGATGCTTCCAGGGTGGGTTGAAGAAGTGGGCTCTTGGATGTGGGTAGCTCTTTAAATTAGGGTCCCTTTTTAGGGTCGCTTTTATAACGGTGCCGTACTACATTGGGGACCTAAAAAGGGACCCTAGTTTAGAGAATTACCCATGTGCGAGCTTAGGGTTTAAAGCGTCGGGTGCGGGTGCTTAGGGCTAGGTTTTCACGAAGCAGGCACGGGTCTTGTGTTTCGGGTCGAGGGGTTCAGCACCCCTTTTGAAGGCAACTATGGGGCGATACAGGCTTCTCCAATGTTGCACATGGCTGTAAGCTGTTCTGGAAGTTGTGCTTGTCTCTGAAGAATCTAAACCTACAGACACCGTACTGCTAAGCCTACTTGTCAATCAATACTCCGGTAACAACGCTTTTGCAGTACTCTGGCTCTGAAAAGCAGGAGTTTGAAGTCGCTACTCTGGAGGACACGGGGCAATCCAAAACCCTAGGATCGAAGCGCTAAGCCCTCCCAGACTGCACTCATACAGTCCCTGTTTCACTGTTGAGAGCACCTGAAGCTCCTGTATTCTAAGGCGGTTCGAGCCTAAAGCTACTGGCCCACTGTTATTGCGTGGCGGGCCTGGCCCAGGTAGCTCGTGTCTGAATGACGAATGACATAGCACGGTTTAGGGTTTAGGGTTTAGGGTGAACCTGATATCCTAAGAGTTGAGAGTTCACGGTCTGGTGCGATAGATTTTTCACCAGGCAGCATTCCAAGAATTGTTCAAAGTGTTTCAGAGGTGTGCGTCTGGAGGCTGGGGATAACGTCCAGGTTCTTGAAGCGGAGAATTCTTGAATGCCCAGGGCCTAGATCCTAAACCCCAACCTAAGCTTAAGTCTCAACTCTACTTGGAGGACAGGTGCTCAGTCAACAGGGCTAGAAGCGGGTCTTTGCATGCGGTAGCCCTGACAACAACCCTGCATCACCCTATCCATTACTTCCCCTTTGTGGCGGGAGTGGTCCACTAAGCCGCCAAATCACTTAACCCTGAACCCTGAAGCTCTTGGCCCAAGCCCTGACAGCCCTGAATCCTGAACCCTAAACCGAGCATATCAGGCCCGATGCCTGAACTCCGAGACCCGAAGAGCCCTGCATCCGCTGTTCTACAAACAAGCAGAACAACAAGACAAAGCGGTACCAAAATTTCACGCCTCAGAAGATCTATGACAACTAAGTAACCAAGACTACCGATAACAAGCTTCCAGCCCTTGTAAGAAGGAGTCCGAAAATCCCTGGCCCACGAGCACCTGGAGCGCCTGATGCTCCACGTAGTTTCCGCCGCCGACGACCTTCTCTTCGGGCTGCTGCTAGGGAACAGGGTTTAACAAGGCTTTCTGTGATAGAACCGGACATCATGGATCTAATTAAGGGGTCACCAGTACCTCTAGAAGACCCTGAACCAAAGACTCGAAGCCGCTGAGCCAAACCCTCAAATCAGAAGCCCTCACCATAGTCCCCAAATCACTGAACCACAAGACCCCTGTACAAACCCACGTGGAACCCTCCTAGACTATGAACATCCGGATACCCGGTGCTTGAATTCAGTCCAGCGGCAAAAGCCACCGCGCGCCGGAAAGGCGCTCGTATTCCTCAAGCCAAGCTTCGCTCTTGGAGGTGCCTAGCTTACGGGTTCTTCGAAGAAGCCGGCGGTCACTCTTTGGAGCCGGCACAATACGAACCAAGCATTTAGGGCCTCTTCGGAGCACTGTTCTGCAAATCCCAGGCAGGGTCTAGGTTTGGATTTTGGAGTCAAGGGCGTCCCCCCCCTAAAGGAATATTGAATCGCCATAGAACGCTTGGGGCCCATGCTACTGCCTTCGGTTGAGGTGTTAGGTGCTATCAGGGAAACTGATGGCTATCCCCGATATTCTGCAACAAAGTCCGTGGATTCCCCTGAAGCAGGCCCATTTGGCGGACCTGCTAAGGACCCCGAAGCCCTTAAACCCACAAGCATCCAAAACCCTAAAGCCCTGAGAACCCTCACAGAAGCAGAGGAAGCTAGAGAGCGCGATACTTGGACCTCTTAAACAAGGTCTATCCCCTGGGATTTTAGGGTTTTGGGTTTATAGTTTATCCGAGTTGCGTAAGGTCAAGGGCACAAGTAACGGGAAATTCGGCAGAGTGCCCAGGAATTGAGTATTGGGCTGTCTCCAAGCCCTAAGCCTCAAACCCCCAAAACGAAAAACATCCTAAACCCCTATTGAATCTGAACCCCAAACCGAAACTGCCCAAAGTTTAAACCTAAACTCAAAACGTAAATCAAGGGATCGTTGTATCGTATACCTACATAAGGACGACAAGGACATATGACCTAAACCCTTGAACCCTAAACCCTCAACCGGACCGAAATGGGAGGAAGGCCAGGTTGCGTGGGACATCGGCACCCCGCGCCGTCGCCGGCGCCTGACTCAGTTGCCGGGTTCAGGCTGGCTTTCGCTTAAGGTTTGGGGGCTTCGGGTTTACGGCCTAGTTTAGGTTTGGGGTTAGGGCCTAGTTTAGGCTTGGGGGTTAGGGTTTAGAGTTAGGGGTTTAGGGCCTGGGTTACGCCACAACTCGGGACAAAGCCGGGCAAGGCGAGGCGAAGGGGTTGGAGTTTGGGGTTTCTGGGTAAGTGTCGACTGAGGCGGGATGTTGTTTTAGGTGCAACGGGCCTCTTTCTGGTTTGGGGTTTAGGGTTGGGGCTGCAGCCCACCGAGCCCAATCTTGAATCATGGTAGAATTCGAGGGGTTCTCCTTGTTTGAAGTGGGTCACGCAGTCTGGGAGACAATCTGGATATGGGGATTCGCAGGCTTACAAGGCTCGGAGTTGAGGCTTCAAGCTGGTGAGGTCCCGCCCTTGATAATAAGGGTAGCCTTCACTGATCAGACAAGGAGACCCCTGCGTTAACGCGCGTATTGAGGGATCTAAACCTCAATCTGGACCCCAGGCTAATGTGATGAGGGCCTCCAAACCCTAAACTTCAAGAGCCTAAAGCCTAAGAATGTGAAGGGCTCTGTGGGTGTCGGGCTTCAGGAATCTGGAAGCGAGGCCCCCCAAACCCAAGCTCATCAAGGCCTAGGATCAAAAACAGTTACAACAGAACTCCCAAGCCCTAAACCTCAAAAGCCCTCAAAAAAAAACCCTAAAAACCCCGGCTCTTTCGAGCCCCTGGAGACTGCATGCAGGGGTTTTGCTGCAAAACCCCTTAAAAAAACCCAAAGCCCTGAGCCCAAAAAAGGGAGCCCCCCAAGCAAAAAAAGGGCTCGGAGAGGCCTTCGGGTCGAGGTAGAGGTAGCTGTCGGCAGCGCCTCAGGGCTCGAAAGACTCGGGGACGTTTTTTGCGGGGCTCCTGGGTTTTTCTTTTTGGGGCTTCCAGGCTTCTATAGGCTAGGCTTCTAGGCTTCTAAGCTTTTGTGAGGTTGAGGGTTTTAGGTTTTTTGTGCTATTCTGTGGGATCTGTGCACCTTTCCTCCACCGGCAGGGTTTAGGGTTCAGGGTTTAGGGGCTGGGGCTTACGGTGAAAAGCAACACTTGCCGGGTAGGCCCTTTTTGTCTGTGGCTTCAGGGAGCCGGACTCTGGGATGTCGATGTGGTGACTAACCCAGAGAGCCCAATACCCTTTAGTTTAAGGACCAGACCTTAAATCATAATACTAAGGCCCCTATAATTTAAGGTATATTCCGTAATGCAGGCGTATTGGGCTCTTTGACTAAAGGCCGGGCCCATGGGCAAAACTACAACCCCGAGCCGGTGTTCAGCCCTGGACCCAAAGCAAAGGCATTG